CAGTGCAACAAGAGCCTCTGGCTGATAGCAACCAAAAGAAGACGCCAAAAGCCTGCGTAAAGCTGGCAGATCTAGAGAAAAAAGGCTCTCAGGTTATGGAGATAACGTATGATCAGGTTGCAAAGGGGACATGGTGGAGTAATAGTGCTGAGAGTCTGTCTGCACTGCAAAAAGTAATTTCCCAAATCAGTATGTTTGTCTTGTCTTCAGTGCTTAAACCAACTGATTGGTTTGGGATGTAAAATTGCATTAGATAATGAGCAAATTTAGTGAATATTTCGAAATGACGATTATTTTATTAAGTTTAACCAGTGGATTTTGAGCATATATCTAATGAAAGCAATGGTAATGGGATACTAATAATACAAAATAAATGTGTATGGTATGGATATACAGTGCTCGGCTTATACAAGTACACCCCTCACAAATCTATCTTTTAAATTCATATTTTTAATAGGAAGCTATGCAATATTTTTAGGGCTTGACAGGACCCACCAAGATGCTCTTACTAGCAACTTTGGCTGGTTGAAAATAATTTTTTAATTGCCAGTGCTGGCTAGTCATCAAAGATTAGAATTATAATTTATGATCATTTGTCAATATGCTCGATTTCAGAATCGAGAATTCAATTCAATTCAATTCAGCTTTATTTGTATAGCGCTTTTACAATGTAGATTGTGTCAAAGCAGCTTCACATAAATGGTCATAGTAACTGGAACAGTGTGGTTCAGGTTTTAGTGTTTAAGTTCAGTTCAGTTCAGTTTAGCTCAGTTCAGTGTGATTTAATCATTACTGAGAGTTCAAACACTGAAGAGCAAATTCATCGATGCGTAGCTTTACCAATCCTGAACCATGCGAGGCAGTGGCGACAGCGGAGAGGGAAAAAAAAAAAAAAAAAAAAAAAAAAACTTCACCTGATGGGTGAACCTCACCTGAGAAGCAGCACGACTAACTGTTTGCGCTCAAGCAAAAGAAAGCAGGTGAAAGGTGTGAAGCAGCTGTGCCTGAAAACACAACTGGTTGGATTGGTTCTTATTGAAATAGACTGGACAAAAAGCAATGCGTGTGCACCCAAAGTCCTGCTGCTTTCAAGAGCTCCAGATTTATATGCAACAGACACTTTCGCTTTAACCATTCTTTTTAGCAGATTATTAATGGGTTTAAAGTTAACTGTGAACATGCACCTGATCTTTATTTCATTATCACACAAGGCATTTTTCATCTGCTTTCTTGCTTATTTACTTAATTATCATCCTTTGCAATTGCTTTAAAATATTATTAACTCTCCATTTATGTATGGTTGGTGATCTGGCACATTTAGCCTTAATAGTCTGCAATGCATGGTTTTATGACAATCTTTTTTTTAATGTTATTTAAGAACATTTTTGTTGAATAAAAAGTGAATATATTTTAGCAGCTATATTTTGCTTGTTTTGACACATTATTTTTTTTTTTTCATTTGTGGCACGGAAATCATTTTTTGGTCTCGCCAGAAAACAAAAACGGTAAATCCTTAGTGTTGAGCCCTAAAAAGTCACGTGAAATAAAACTATTGTAACATGACACTATGAAACTCACTTGCAAGGTTATTCACAATACACAAAAAAAGCTTCATGAATGAGGAGGCAAGTGGACATTAATAAAATTGAAATTAAGTAATTTTAGCATGGGGCAACATGGTGGTGCAGTAGGAAGTGCTGTCGCCTCACAGCAAGAAGGTCGCTGGTTCGAGCCTCAGCTGGGTCAGTTGGCATTTCTGTGTGGAGTTTGCATGTTCCCCGTGTTCGGAAGGGTTTCCTCCGGGTGCTCCGGTTTCCCCCACAAGTCCAAAGACATGCGGTACAGGTGAATTGGGTAGGCCAAAATGTCTATATTGTATGTGTGTGTTTGTGTGTGTGTGTGTGTGTGTGTGTGTAAATGAGTCTGTACAGGTTCCCCAGTGATGGGCTGGAAGGGCATCCGCAGCGTAAAACATACTGTATGCTGGATAAGTTGGTGGTTCATTCTGCTGTGGTGACCCCAGATTAATAAAGAGACTAAGCCGAAAAGAAAATGAATTAATGGATGAATTTTAGCATGTCAAATTCAAATGAATGCATTTAAAATATGTTTTCCCATCAACAAAATTGTGGCTAGTAAAAAATGACGACTGTAACGTTGGAAAACTAGCCCCAGTGCCTGGTGATCAAAAAAGTCAAGCTCTAAATATTATATTTGTACATATACATTATATAAGTCAGTACTGAAGCCAAATCTGGAGCTTATCTAACAAAATAACTTACAATAACAGTCCAAAAACTAGTACACCTAAATGTATGTTATAAAAAATTTAAATACAAATTAAAAAAAAAATCAAAAGAAGCAAAAGAATGTAAAAACTTTAGGTGAAACTTTTCAGATTGTAATTTATTTATTTATTTTTATTTTTTGCAATATTTTTCTTGAATTTAATACCTTTCAATTTCTAAAAATATTTGGTGACTGAAAAATTATTTTAATAAATATATCTGTTTAATAAATCTATTTTGTTTAAATGCACCAAAATACATTGCCTATATTCACTGAGAAATGATAAATTGATAAATAATAATTGATAAATTATAATTTTCAAACGGGGTGTACTGAATTATGCTGTGCACTATAATTAATGCTTATAAACAAAAAGTTTATTCTAAAAATTACAGTTTATAATGATGTTATTCAAAATTCAAGATATATATTTTTAACTTACTGTTTATTATAGGTGAACCTCTTCACAAACAGCACAAAAAATGCACAAACAGTTATCTACTAACTCCTCTGTATGGTGCACATAATGGTATTGAATGATATACTGCTACTGGAAAAGTATTGCAATACCCTGTGTTGACAGTTTTTAATGGTATTAGTATCAGTACTTTAAAAATCAGTGCGTAAATAGAGTGGCATTTGCTTTGTGTTGACAGCATGTGTGTGCCATTATCCAAGCAGCACAGAACTGTATAAATACAGACACATTATTCAGAATTGATAAAGAAATTTGCATGAATGAAAAAATAAAGCACAGGACGTGTCTGATTTTAAAATAAGTGAAGCATGACAGACTCATAAATAAACTTGTGTTGACTGACACACACCTCAAGCACTTGAATAGAAATTACCTCTGCCAGTTCAGCTTTCTTTAGCATTTAATGTGTTTGAATGATCAAATACATGCTAAATTATGTCCAAATGCCCATTTTTGTAAATATCCTCATAAACATAGTCAGTAAAATCTTAATGTAAACAGTTGAAAAAGCATTTAGGTGTGTTTATTATTGATTAGATTATTACTTTGGGTCAGCACAGCTTTTAAAATGACCACAGCCTGACCTCATGCCCATCATTCAGTGTCAAATAAACAAGAAGATAAAAAGAGAAAATAAATCACAGATCATTAGTAAATCACTTAATTAACCTTAAAAATCCTGAAAAACTATTAAGCACAATTTATTTTAACTTTTTTTTTCATAGAATAATCTAAATTGTGAAATAAGAGCTAATGCCCTCAAATAGGCTTTAAGTAAAATAAGTGTCATTTGTTTAGTAATGTTTTTCAGTATCCAAGTTTAATGAGCCAGTTGAGGGCAATAAGAGCTCTTATTTTGCTTCAATCTTTTAGCTAACTGAACAAGATTGCAAATATCTATATATAACTGTAGACTAGGCTGTATCAGAGACAGATATTTGCTCACCATAAAGGTGGCAGTGTCATGTGATTTATCAGTTTATTAACACTTTAATAAAATGCAGGGCACTACAGTGCTTCCTACAGGTTTGAAATATACTTGAGGTAGTCGGATTGAAACACCATTTACCCACATCACATAAGTAAAAAACTACATGAGACAAACAAAACATATTAAATTTTTTTATAAATAATTGTATTTATTATGACACTGTTAAACACTGTTTCTTTTCAATGGGTTAAAGAAAAAAAGAAGAAAATAAAAAGAGTATAAAAAATAATTAAAAAGAAATCCACTATTTCTCTTACTTTTATGCTATTCAGGAGCCACGTGCACCCACTGACAAGTAAAATCTGCTTTACTCTCTCTTTCAAGTTCAAACTTGAATGACAAAGCATTAATTATGTATAAAATATGTAATATATTGACATAAAATTAATAAAATATACAGTAAATGAAAAATAAAATGGAAAAAAACATGTGCAGATTATTTAAATAAGGCCAGTCCATCGATTAACCCTTACTGTTGTTGTACATATATTTTGCAGCCAGTTTAGACCAGTCATTTTAATCCTCGCTGAGTATATAGTAAAGTTTTACTGAGTGTTTAGATTCAAGAATGAATTCTTCAATGTTTCTTTCATTGCTGTGAGAAGCGAAGTAGGCTTAAGTAATAAATGTCATGCAAATGCACATAACAAAAGCTTCAGAAAGCAAAAGCAAAAGCTGAATCCTGGTCATTTTACAAGATTTAGAAACCTCAGCTGGATGAATTTAAATTGTAAAAAGGCACATCTCTGTGGGTCTCTGCAAAGCACGTGAGATTACTTGTGGGAGTGTTGACAGGTCTCACAGACACAGAACCATTTGGTAAAGGAGAGAAGATTGTCCACCATTTACCTGATCGCAGATGTTTGGATATATTAGGCGGATACAAAATGCGAAATACTGTAAAAGGATGACAATATTAGAGAAATATGTCATTAAATATACTTAGGCAGCTGTTAATATACCTGGGTGGCCCACCCAAGTCTAGTCTATGTGTGGGAAGCACTGCACTACTATGCTAGCCAAATTTTTTTATAAACCGATTTTAAAGTTACGCCTGAATCGTCTTTTTTAAATACTTTCTGTTGCTTTACATTTTAGTCAAGGTATAGATATTGTGATAGGTCTCATATCAGACCATGATTTTTGGTATCGTGATAACACCGTTCACCAAAATGATCTTTGAAAATACGGATGAGGAGAGTGATTTTTAAAGTGTGTTTGTTTCATTGCATACACACGTACCTGAAAAGGAAGTCTTTGTCTTTGTGACGGCATCCAAAAAACAGCCACATCTCTCCGAAAGTCGCCTCCTGGTTTGCTTCACGCTCTTTTTCTCTGTCAGGTCAAAACAATATTTGGAAAATTAAACAATGTATGTTAAAAAAAAAGAGTTAAAACAGCAAGCACTCCATGGTATCATTTCTAAATCTCTTTTAAAATGATTTGATTTTTCAGGCTGATATCTGACCAATCTGGTTTGTCAAAATGACCTTTACTGTGGTACCAAATCAATACTTAAAGAAATGAATAAAAAAAAAAAAAAGCTATTTCAGCCTTTCTGTAAGTTTGGTAATACAGAGTACAGACCCAAGTTCAGTAGCCAAGGGCTTTCTGACAGACAGGAGACTGCTTTCTAATACTCGCATGCATATTTATGTGTTTATGCCTCACGGTAATGTGTGCAAATGGTCAAACGTACTTCCTACTTAAAATGTCTCTTGGTGAGCTATTAAATGTAAATAGGTGAAGGTAAGCAGGTGGGGGGAAATATGAGGTTTGTGCATTATGCTGTGTATTCAGTCTAATAAACCTGACACAGTTAATTATTTTGAAAACAATTTTATTACTAATACTATAATAGCCCTTATTTCATCAGGAAAAAACCTTTTCCAAGAGCGTCCTGGCGAACACTAACTGTACACCGTTCACATAGAATGTCATTTATCTATCAATACACACATAAAATAACAAATCAGAACATCTAAAGAGCAGTGTTTTATATTTCACATCATTTAAAATCTTTTTAAATGTATGGATTGAAATCCACTGCTTAAACTGCAACTTAGCTTGCAAGCTATTCCAAGCAAAGAAAGCTTTTATAGCGTTTTCTCTTCGTTTTTGTATGCACCAGTGTAGTATTGTAATACATACAATAAAATACAATAAAATGACTGAGACCAAACTGAGGACTAGAACTAAAAACTGTTTTACAAAAGCAAGTTTGCAGATAAGAAGGGAGTAAACCTAGAATAGATTATAAACAAAAATATGTCAATGTTTAAAACTATAAACAGATAAAATAGACCATCCAACCTGAATGTACAACACACAATGATGAGCATGGGTTTTAAGATTTGTTATAAGCTTCAGAAAACCATGATAAACAGTGTCCAAAGAATGCAAGCGCTGAGATAATGCATGCATATATAAATAACCTTTCCATAGTCCAATACTACGGTGGCCAAAAGAACTTAACGTGCTGCAGTTTAAGAAAACACGTGCAATTATAAAAAAAAAAAACACCAGCAAATAAAGTAACTATTTTGTAGTGAAGTTGTAGGTAATCTTTGAAAGGTAAGTTTTTTTTATAAGCCTAAATAATTATAACCTAAAGCCGTACACACACTATGTACAGTTGCCTTACCGGGCCGAAGCACACTTGTCCCCCCTCTCGTCTCCCCCGACAGCCCCTACTCACATCGCATTCGGGCCTGAGCATGCTTACATTATCGAAGATGTGCTGTTCAGTTTAGGAAGCGCTCTCACTAAGCGCAGTGGAGATTTCTTTATATCCTTATATCATTTTAGTTGTTTAATATGCAGTGACGCCCAGTGAAATATTTTGCCGAACAGATCAGCCACTTTTGACGCTCATAAACAATCAAAGTCCTCATGCTGCAGGAATTAGGAGGTTTGCTAAAGATGCAGCTGTCGTGCAGTGTCGTACCTCGCCAAAGCCCAAGTGAACCGCGCTCTCGCACACCTTTTCCAACCGGGCCACGATTCAGAGCACTCACACTTTTCAAATGATCCGGAAAATGGGCCTGGGCACGGTTCGGATAGCATAGTGCGAGTACGCCCTAAATAGCTGGGTCTGTTCAGTTTTAGGGTCCTCTTGAAACATTTTTATTGTGTTCCATGCTATTTAAAAATGTTGTGAGAAATGCAGCGCGTTTTTGGAAATTGTTTGAGTTGTAAGAAAATGCACCTCGGTTTTTAAAAATCTTTAGTGTTGTAGAAGCCCAAAATTATTTTCAATTTTTTTTTTCACCCATTGCTGAATATGTGGGCCAAATTGAGAGTGTGTCAATTAAGTTTCCAAGATACCTGTACTGACAAACAAATGCAATTTGAACCTTGAAAAGCAGTAATAGAACACAGGCTTTGATGCACTGGTTTTGACTTAACATAAATAATAATAGCAAAACAACTGTACTGAAAACAGGAGAAAACAATCTTCTGCTTACAATTCATTTAAATTTGTTCCCTTTTACTGATATTAATTACTTATGTTATTACTTTTACTTTTAATTACTTTTTTAATTATGCTAACTTGGTGCTAAAGAAATATTTAATAGCATGATCAATGATTATTCTTGTTTTATTCTGAAAAATATACATTCTTTTTTATTTAGATCAACAAGATGTTTTTTTAAACATTGTTATATTCATTTTTAGACACAATTCCAATGACTACTTTTCTTACAAAATAGAAGAAATGTCTTGAAATCAGATAATATAACCACAATGCATTGAGCAGCTGATAAGCCTTTCTGGCTTTATTCTACAAACGTGAGAACAACCGGCTGGATATCCTAACTTAATGCACAGGTGGTAGTGCTAAATAAACGCAGGCAGATCTAACATAATCAAAAAACAGTCAGTTTTTCCTATTCACTCAACATTGCTCTGAATATTGGTTAAATGGAGAGACAGATGTATTGATAGACGAAGTATATTTTGAAAAGGGGAAAAAATTGTTGATCATCTTAAAAATTGTCAAATATGAGAAAGTTAATCTACATAAATGACAACTTTTACAGTCTTCTGCATTTAATATGATCCAACTCATAGTTTCATGATGAAGAAACCATGAACTGGCCAGGTCGCATTTAAATGCATCCTTTGTCTGCTATATTTGCACAAAAACACAATTGCTTTTTGTAGCAAAAACCTTGATATTTATCTCGACGGCTTCTTTGCGAGTGAGTCCTCCAAAAAGATCTGGCAGTGTTCCCAGAATTCCCTAAACTAAGGTGACATGCACTATCTGTACACTGCACCTGCTAAAGGTAGACAGACTTCTCCAAACAGATAAGAGAGAAGGTGTCGAACAAACACAATCAAAACAGTCTTCAGGCCCAGGAGAAGAAAAACAGCACATCGTCTACTCCACTGCATCTTTACTCAGACATGATAATAGAAGAAGAGATCCGTTAGGGATGCGTTTCACAGGCCAGAAGCAAACTCCACTGCGTCTGCTCCTTTAGCCATCTCAGCCAACTCAAATGAAGCGTTCAGAAATAACACATGCCGTCTGAAACTTGCAGAGGCATTAATAGAAGCAGAATGTAGAAACACCCGAAGGACTTTCAGGGTGAGATGCCCTCCATCATGCTGATATCAGTCAAAACACTGCAGCGAGCCGGGTTTCAGACACTAAGCTCTCCCCATCTGCTGAACGTACAGTTTAATTGCGATTTGAATACTAATGAGCCACAGTGTGGATGAGATGACCACAGGAAAACTAAACAGAGCTTCTCTTTAAACATCTACAATCTGCTCGGGTTCATTTCGTGTCCTTGCTTCAGTGACCCGTCAAATGCGCTGAACAACTGGCGAGAAAAGCAAAATGCTCTCTTTTGAGTCGTGTTGTCGTTTGTGCGGAGTAAATATATTTAATTTAGAGGCGTGTTGAGCAACGGCCAGGAAGTGGCATGCTAATGGTTATTTAACTGACTGATGTTAATTAAATAAAGCGTGGCTTTTTATTCTCCTGGTTTATGACTGATTTATAAGTTGTGAGACATCAGTAAACAAAATGACAGCAAATAAATCATGCCCTTTGAAGCAAGTTGCTTGTATTTGGCAGCAGTCTTGGTAACATGCCATGCATGGCTATTTTCTATAAAGGCAATAAGCATATAATAAGTACTTCAGCAAACAAACCAAAATAGACCTCATAATTGCGACTGAAAATTGCAAATGTATACCGTGCAATTGCAGCTTATGTCTATTTGTCAGCAGTGCTTGCATACCTCTGGAAGCATATTACAGAAAATTACTTATTTTAGGTCATAATTTAAGAGGTGATATGTTAAACAAGGATTACCCACAAATTAGTATTATAGAAGCCAATCGTAACTTGATTTGGCATTCATATGCTGTCTTACAAAATTGTATTTTACCTCTAGTAAGGAAATCTTAAACTGTGCCTTCAAACTTGACAATACACTCCCAGGTCTGTTACGAAGCAACCAACACTGTGTAAGTGCTAACAAAATCAAAGAAAAAACAATGGAATAACTTTAAGCATTAATCGCTTCAAATATAACCAGTAACTCTCCAATCCCAAATCTTTAAACCACACAGCTGTGGCTCTCTCACAATTGTCATATTTGCAGCCATTATCGCAACTGCGGCTTCACACTTTAATTATAACCATTTCTCACAATAGAGACATTACACATTACAACTGAAACTTTATTAGTTACACCTGTTCAACTCCTCATCAAGGCAAATTTCTAATCAGCCAATCACATGGCAGCAACTCAATGCATTTAGGCATGTAGACATGGTCAAGACGATCTGCTGCAGCTCAAAACAGAGTATCAGAATTGGGAAAAAAGGTGATTTAAATGACTGTGAATGTGGCATTTTTGTTGATGGCAGACGGGTTGGTCTGAGTATTTCAGAAACTGCTGATCTACTAGGATTTTTACGCACAACCATCTCTAGGGATGACAGTGAAGGGTTTGAAAAAGAAAAAATATCCAGTGAGCAGCAGTTCTGTTGGTGCAAATGCCTTGTTGATGCCAGAGGTCAGGGGAGAATGGCCAGACTGGCTCGAGTTGATAGAAAGGCAACAGTAACTCAAATAACCACTCGTTACAACCGAGGAATGCAGAAGAGCATCTCTGAACGCACAACACGTCCAACCTTGAGGCAGATGGGCTACAGCAGCAGAAGTGCAAACCGGGTGCCATTCCTGTCAGCTAAGAACAGGAAACTAAGACTACAATTCACACAGGCTCACCAAAATTGGACTATGGAAAATTGGAAACACGTTGCCTGGTCTGATGAGTCTCGATTTCAGCTGCGACATGATAGGGTCA